AGCTCCAGAAGCTGAGACAGGAGGATCCAAGTTCAAAGCCAGCCTCAGCAAATTAGCAAGGCCCTGAACAACTTAGCAAGAACCTGCCTCAAAATTAAAAATTAATAAATAAATTAAATAAAAGAGCTGGTGATATTTTCAGTGGTTAAGCATCCCTGGCTTCCATTCCTAGGAGAGAGAGAGAGAGAGAGAGAGAGAGAGAGAGAGAGAGAGAGAGAGAGAGAGAGAGAGAGAGAGAGAGAGAAATGGTAAATGAAAATAATTACAGTTTGAGATATTACCTCTTGGGTAAGACAGAAGGGGAGATGATAAACAACATATTCAATTATTGCAAAATAAAAATGAAATACAAAATCCAGCCTCATACTTCTAGATCTATTCTACTGAAGTGTGACATTCAAAAGTAATTTTTGAAATAAACAGAATGCTTTATGAAAAATAAACAATACATAGAGCTACAGGTCAAAGTTCCATATTATTACTAAAGAGCCACAGTTATGTTTCTGGTTTAGAAAGAGTGGAATGGATAGAGGAGGTAGAAACAGATCCAAACAGAGAGATTTAATCATAATAATAAAACAGCATATTGTATTCCATAAAAATATGCAACTTTTTTGGAACACTAACAAAACTCTGGTTTTAAGATATCTATTTTTGTATTTACAGAAACATTAACACCCTTATGCAGAAAATTAACCCAGATTTTGTCCATTCACTGGCTGATACAGACATTATCTGACCAATCTCTCTACTAATTTAGCCATTAGTTCAAATTTAGTAGGTCCAGTTCACAAGTACTTTTTAAAATTTGTTTTTTTTTAAATATACATGATAGTAGAGTATATTTTTATATATTATACATACATGGTGTATAACTTATTCTAAATATGATCCCATTCTTGCAGTTGCAAAGGGAGTTTCACTGGTTTGCATTCCTATATGAACACAGGAAAGTTGTGTACGATTCATTCTTCCATCGTTCCTATTCCTCTCTCTCCTCCATTCCCTTCATTTTGTTTAATCCAATGAACTTGTATTCTTCCCTCCCCCCACCCTATTTTGTGTTAGCATCTACATATCAGAGAGAATATTTGGCCTCTGTTTTGGGGGGATTGGCTTATTTCATTGAGCATAATAGTGTCCAGGTCCACTCATTTACTGGCAAATATCATGATTTCATTTTTCCTTATGCCTGAGTCATATACCATTGTGCATGTATACCACATTTTCTTTATTCATTTATCTGTGGAAGGGTCCCTAGGTCAATTTCATAGCTTTGTTATTGTGATTTGAGCTTCTATAAACATTGATGTGGCTATGTCCCTGTAGTATGCTGACTTTAATTCCTTTGGGTATGTGCTGAGGAGTGGGATACTGGGTCAAATGGTGGTTTCATTATAAGTTTTCTGAAGAATCTCCATACTGCTTTCCAGAGAGGTTGCACCAATTTACCATCCCACCAGTAATATGAGTGAATTTTTTTTCCCCAAATCCTAGCCAACATTTATGTTACTTGTATTCTTGATAAATGCCATTCTGACTGAAGTGAGATGGAATCTCAGTGTAGTTTTAATTTGCATTTCTCTAATTGCTAGAGATATTCAACATTTTTTATATATTCTTTCACCATTCTTATTTCTTCTTCTGTGAAGTGCTCAGAATGCTGTGAGACACCGTTAGCCGTCTTTTACCTTTCTTTTGTTTGTTTATATTTTATAATCTACCTTTTAAATGACAAAAAAGTATATTTTTATGAATAAAATGTGAAGTTCTGATAGGTTTATATATTTTAAAAGTTTATATATGTAAGATATATATATATATATATATATATATATATATATATATACAAACACAAACACACACACACACACATACACACAAACTGTGAAATGAATAAAACAAACCAACATATCATCACCTCACATACTCACCTTTTATTGCAATGAAAACATTTAAAATCTACTTTTGACAGTTTTCAAGTCTGGAATACATTATTATTAACTATAGTCAGCATACTGTATAAGAGATCTCTAGAATTTGATCATCCTATCTAACTGAAACTCTTTAAAATTTGACCAAAATCTCCCCATTATCACCTATCCCCAGCCCTTGATAACCACCATTCTACTCTCCACTTCCCCAAGTTCTATTTTGTTAGATTTCATGCATAACATCATGCATTTGTATGTGTGTGTGTGAACAATGTTGCTATAACATGGGAGTGCAGGTATCTCTTTGATATGTCTATTTCATTATATATATATATATATATATATATATATATATATATTACTGTGGGATTGCTGGATCATGTATAACTATGAAAATAATTCTGCTTTCTAAAATAGGGAATAGTTTATTCTGAATGAAATATGAGCAAACATGCCCTGGGAACTCAAGTTATCCTGAAAGACATAATTTTCCATGAAGCTTACACAAGCTTCTAAATTTCCAAAAGAAGGTAGATGGAGTCTTTAATAGGCAGATATAGAGGCTAGGAAATCTTCAAGATCCAAATGTTGTTTTCAACAAGATGGGAGAAATTCCTTATAGGATTCTTGTTCCATCTCATTCCCAGACTTAAGGTTGGGAGAAGCCAGAGGTTAACTTATATTACCCAGTTGTCATAAAAATGTCAGGTCAGACACTGATATTGATAAAATGGCTCTCAAAAAGGACCAAAAGTAGTCCAACACAACCTAACCTTGCAGATCTACTCCATCTCTCCATAGGGTCTTGTTGATCCAATCAGCAAAATCCAAACAACCTGGAAGTTCCCAAACACAAACCCAACCTCTATGAAGAACTTCAATTCACATATGTTAGTTCTATTTTTAATTTTTTGAGGAGCATCCATATGGTTTTTCATAATGGTTGTCTTGGCAGTACTGGAAGTTTACTTATAATACATTTTTTCAGTCAGATTTGGAGGCTCACAGCAGCTCTCACTTAACTCAGTAATCCATCATTAAATTCTTTTTTGAACTTAAATTTATAAAATTTTATTACAACTTTAATATATAGACACATAGTCCAATATTACTGTATTTTATGCACATATTGCTGGATTAAATAAAAGGACAAAAGAGTCAAAAATTTGATGCATCGTGATTAGAGTCTTGCATCTGAAAATTAGGGCCCCAAACCATATACTCACTTCTGAAGTGATACCAAAATATATCCTGAATTATGCTTTCTTGCAAGAATAATTTTATAAAAGTTACCAATTGAAGAGAATCTGCATCATTTAAAGGTCCCCTGTGTGGAAGAAGCTGTCCTATTTTATGTTTGTTGATTTGAAAGGGTATTTGAGAAAGAATGGGAAAATGAGCTCAGGAGATCAATATTCTGAACAATTAACCTATAAACAAATAAATAACACAGTATATACATAATGTCACATCTCTACAGACAGCCAACAATGAGTTTGTAAGTGAGGTTGACATGATAAATGTAGCTAGATTAGTGGTACACTTTGCCAAGTTCAGAAACAAAAGCCCATGTGCTCCCTTCCATTGTTCTGCACTGTGAGGGATGCACTCTGCCCTTCCCACCGAGATATTCATCAAAAATTTGGGCATTTACATCTTTTCTCAAAGGAATGTCATGTGCTCTCTCTTCACACACAAAAACAAACAAACAAAACAACCAAAATAAAAGGCAGAGGCAAACTTAACTATTGTTAAGGGACCAGAGTCAAAGTAATTTTTTTAGGAATCCAAGGAAATAACCAAGAAGTAAAAAATAAAAATAAATAAAGGAGACATGTTAAGAAGTCATAGCTTGCCTAGTCCCTTGAAGAAGATCTTGGACTTCTATGCACACAATCTATCCATTTGATCATAAATCCTCATTCTAAAACTTTGGATGTACATTAGAATCAACTTGGCAGGTTTTAAAAGATTCATTCTTGCTCCACTCCACCCAGTCAATTGAAACAGATCATTGGATGTTGGGCTCAAACATCTGTAGTATTAAAACCTCTCCAGATGATTCTGAGGCATGGAATAGGTGAGACTACATTGAGTTTAAAAAATAAAAAATCTTTGTTCCAGTGCACAAACTTTATCAAAAAAGCAAAAACTTTACAAGCCACCATTATTACCCTCTCTGCCTGCTAGAAAAGTTTTAATAAAATGCTTTGATTGGCCCCCTTGGAAGGCAAACATTCTGGAAGTCATCTACTTATGCCAGTCATTAAAACTAAAATTAAAAATTTGACCAGAATTTGCAGATAACATGTTGAGGACATATCACCTAGAGATAAGCCCATTTCATTAAATTATTACAATAAGTATCATTAAAACATACCTTTTATATTTTATGAGATGTATTTTAGTATTATTATTTATTTGCCTATGTTTTTGAGTTTAATGAAAGCTAGAAAGCATATTGATCTAGAATTAGAACACTTATATAAAATTTAAAACATTGCACAATTGTTTTAAAGAGAAGAAACAATAGATGAAATGCTACTCTTCTCCTCCCTTTTGATCTTTCTCCACACCGTGTAATGTTTTCCTTTTCTATGGGTGATAAGAATTTATGAGATTATAATAGAACAAATCTTTAGAGCAGGAAGCTACTGCTTTTTAAATAACAGAGACTAGATTAATTATTAAAGGGAAATATAAAGAGATTTATAAGGGAGGCACTTGTTGAGAAATAGCTATCTGCTCTTTGAAATAAAGAAAAGGTGTAAAATAGAGGTGAGTGCTTTGGCAATGTTTGTGTGAGCAGGATGAGATAATGTAGACAATGCCAACTGCCAAGGAGATCAAATCCCTGGAAAAGGAAACTAAAAACAGGATGTGTGGGGAGAAAAAAGAAAAGCATTAAAAATTAAAAGCCAGACAATAACTGCAAGAAAGAATTTCACGTCTGAAAAGATTTTTGAACTATAGAGAGTGCTAACAATGAAAGATACATCTAGGGAAACTAGGAGAGAAGAATTTTTTAAAAAAATAAAGGAAAGAAAGAAAATGGCAGAATAAAAATTACTTCATTCCATTTTATCATTTTAATGAATATAAGCCAAAGAGTAAGGTCACAGACAAAGGTTTATTTCATCTCTGTTGATTTCAACTCTATCAGTTTCCAAGTCAACAAATATTTGCACAGAGAACAAGACAATCTTTAAATCAGAAAATGGAATTGGGAAGCAAAGCCCAAATTGTGTGTTATTATCAACATGTTTAACCTTTGCTTTCAGATATTTCAAAATATTTGCTTCTGGCATCTCGTGTCTCAAGCTGTATTTTGACTCAGTAGTGAATAGGACAGGTTTTTTTTTTGTTTGTTTTTTTGGTTTTTCTTGGTCCAGACTTAGTTCAGTTTCTTCAGTTCCACATGGCAAGAGGAACAGCTGGAGTCACCTGCAGGCCTTGGGAAAGAGGGTCCAAACCAGCCAAGCTTGCTGATGCTCTGCAGGTTGCCATGGGGTGGAGTGGGAAAATGCTTGCTGAAGATAGAAAATAGAATGCAGTGAGGGCCTCATTATTCTGCAAACCAACACTGAAGTAGTGTTCTGTTTTTAAGTGAAATAAAATTGTTTATTGTGACCTAAGATCATGTCAATGCTTGATGGAGAATTTCTATTCTGCATCCCTCTCCATTCCCAATGTTATATATATATATATATATATATATATATATATATATATATATATATATATATATATTATGTTTATATATGACTATATATACATATATGTATATGGAGACACATAAATATATGTATATATATACGTGTATATACATATAAACACATACATGCTAGGGTTTGGGGGTTCTTTTATTATTTGTGTGATTTTCCTTTTGAAGGGTGTGGTTATTGGTAGCAATTTAGAGAACTGCACTCAATTTAAGGCAATGGTATAATTGATAATGACTATCTGGAATCTTAGCTGAGATATTTTTGACAGTACATGCAAACCCACACACTAAGAATTTATTTCTCTTGCTCTATAAGTAAAATATTAATTTAAAAATATCTCTGGTATTGACTAGTGACCAATAAAGTAAGTTAAAATATCCTGCATAGGTGCTTCAGATTTTACATTAAAGTTATCACTAACTTTCAAATTTTTCGTTTCCCAGAAAATAAGTGGTGGCTATCAGAGGGGGAAAAAGTAGCTCACAAACACAGAATCTGAAAAGTTTTTACAATCCAAATAGTACTATTGAAGCCAATCATGGAGATTAGATCTTGAGCAAAACTCTGTGTTAAGACTCACCTGACCCTTGTCTTCCCCAATAATCCAGAGAAGTGTTGCCTTGGGGCAGCTGCCTCCTCTAGCCTGTCCATTGTTTAATATGTCAGGAATTGAACATAGGCAAATTAATCAGTGACAAGAGTACCTAAGGAAATAATTACCTTTGTTCTTGAAGTTTGCAGAACTGAAAAGCATCTCATGACCTTATTAGGATCTATTGTACTTCAATTAGCCACAAACCTCCACCCACAGTCTGCCATCATCCATCTCCTATAGAAACCATCCCTAAATCAGCTTTCTGGCAACACGTACCATTTAGGATGATGGTCCTCCATCTTCTCATCAATTAGGTCTTCATAATAACGCCACTGCATTGTTCAACTAATTGACTTTAGTTATGTAGCAAGTGAACTGAGCCTGTGGTGGTAACACTGCTTATTAAAACTCTTTATGCATTATGTCAATCATTTTTCATTAAGTATGCTAAATGTGCCACATATTTTTTCTAGTCTCTATATACTAACCTGAAATTGAATTGTATCTGCTTCCAATAAAATAAAAGTGAAGAAGTAAAATGCTAAATCATTTTTATAGTATATATCAATGGTCCTCAAAGAGTGAACCCACATCAGCAATATTAATATCATCTTAGAACATGTCAGTAATGGAAATTCTTTAGCCCATTGTGGTGGTACTTACCTGTAATCCCAGCAGATCAGGAGGCTTAGACAAAGGAAGATCGCGAGTCAAAAGCCAGCCTCAGCAAAAAGAAAGCAAGGTCCTAAGCAACTCAGTGATACCCTGTTTTTTAATAAAATACAAAATAGTGGCTCAGTGGTCAAGTGCTCCTGATCAACCTCCTGTACCCCTTAAAGATGGAAATTCTTGTACCCCATTCCCAACTTTCTCAACCATCAGTCCTAGGGTAGAACCCAGCAATCTATGGTTTAGCAAGCCTTTCAGATGATTGTAGGCAGATGCAAAACTTGAGAACCAATTTGCTGATGCATGCAAATGTTAGGCAGTTAATATTCAGCCATAGATGAGGTTGATACTGAATATCCCATCTTATCTTGTGGGAATTGATATAAATCTTAAATTTTAACCAAAAAATATAGTTTTATTGCTATTAGCAGTCTAAAGTCAACATTTTGAAACTTAACATAGTGCAGGAACAATCATTTCTTGGTTTTGTCAACTGCTTAAATGCCCTGTAGTCACAGTACTGGAAATTGATGATCCTAAATAGACACTTAATTTCAAAGAATGTACATGGAAAACCAAGAAATTGCTTGGGTATAATGCTTTTCTTCTGCATACTCTTATTTCTTCCTACTCTGCATATTCTTGACTATTCTGGTTGCAAGATAATTTATTATAAATATTGTTACACAGAGTTTTGGAGATTTTTTTTCCTTACAAAATATTGAGAAGGCAAAAATGATGCTCTGTACCAATGCAATCTCAGATGATGTGAAGACTAAATCACATAGAACTTTATCTTGAAAGACTAAGGATGAATGTGTGTGACTACAAAGGTACAAGAAAGCCGAAGTTTTTTTCTCTTTGCTGATGTTCTCAAATCCACACAAATGTGCTAAGCATACAGTAGGTGCTCAGTGAGTACTTAGGGAATAAATGGAAAACTATATGAATTTAAATAACCACAAAATAAGAAATTCTCTAAGCTTATTTTTTTTTATTTTATAAGTACAAAATATTCCCACAAGTATTCAAAGTATGGTAGGTAGACATAAAAACTCTGAAATCAGAGAATTATAGTAGACCAGAAATTAAAACTTCCACTAAAGCCCCAATAATTAAAGCAGTGATATAGTATGATGTGGTCAGATCAATAGAACAGAACAGGAAGTACAAAAATAGATCTAAACACGTGCAAATTTGATGTACAATAAAGATAAAATCTCAAGTCTTTGGCAGGAAGATAAACTTTTAAATAAATGAAGCTGAGTCATCTGGGGAAAAAATCAAATTGTCTTCATACCACATACCAGGAGAAATGCCAATGAATCAGAAATGTACTAGAAGAAAATATATCAAGTTCTTTTATGATCTTGAAACTAATCTGTGGCTTAAAATCTATAAGCTACAAAATAAAAATATAATTCAAATGCACACACCTGCATTTAAAATAAACCTCTGCATGGAAGAAACATTAAAATCAGAAGCTAAAAAATATATATTTACAACTCATGTCACAGTCAAGGGTTCATTTCTTAATATATAAAAAGACTCTTAATATCCAGAATAAAAGCATGAAAAATCCAATAGAAAAAATATATAAAGGATACAATTAGAAGGCTCACAAGGAAAAAATGCAAATTACCCTTAAATATAATACAAAAGCACTCAATCTCAACCATCACAGATATCATTTTTCATCTATCATAATGGCAACAGTCCAAAAGTTTGATGATACATTAAGGCTTAAGGTAATAGGTATTTGTATATTTTGCTGATATTACAAACTAGTACAACCCCTACAGGTTAATTTGACAACGCATCTAAAATTAAAAGAATTCCAAGTAGGCAATCAGAGAATTTGTCCTATACATATGCTGAACGTGTGAAATATGTACAGTTATACAATCATCTGATGTTGAAGTTCAAAAAAATATCCAAATGGTCATCAAAATACAACTGTTTAAATATACTATAATGTCATCTATTCAATGAAACATTAGCCATAAAGAAAGAAGACAGTCTTTTTATTCCTATGTGGAAAGCTTTAGATTATATCATTTAATAAAGGAACAAAATATGAATACTTATATGTTTGTAGTACTCTATCCATTCAATAAGAAATTAGAAATCAGAATGTTTATTTGCTGATATATGTGATAACAAATACTGAAAGTATATGCAAAAATAGAGGGGTAAGTTAATGGGCTAAATAGAGACAGAGGTAGAGTGACTTAAAGTATACGTCTAAGTGTAGGTTGTCAATTTACTGAAGTCTTCTTTTCATATTAAGAATTGGAGACAATAGAGGCTGGCATTGTGGCTCAGTGACAGTGTGCTTGCCTAGCATGCATGAGGCACTGGGTTCAATTCTCAGCACCACATACAAATAAATAAAATAAAAGTCCATCAACAACTAAAAAATATTAAAAAAAAGAATTTGAGATAATAAAAAAGAATCATTGTGTAAAGTAACCTATATTATTGTGCTTCGCATTGTTATTTAAAATGTCTAAATATATATTGGTTCCAAATAGGTACATTTTTTTCTGAAGTTACACTGCTAATGTGTTCTCTTTAACATTTATCTAAAGCATATTTTTTTCAAATTCTTCTTTAAAATGAAAATTCCTTCATAATACTTAAGAATATAGCATTTTACTTTTTTAAGGGGTATTAATGACCCATAGGATCTACTTCTTAGTCCTTAGCTTGCTGGACCTATCAACAGCATTGGACACAGTTGATCTCTTCTCCTCCTTGACACACTTTCTTCAATAGTTTTCCACTCCCTTTCTTTTCTTTCTACTTCACAAATTGTTTCTCATGTTCCTTTCTAACTTCAAGTCTCCTCCCCAACCTTTCAATTTTGGGAAACCTACATGCACTCCTTACATGATCTCATCTATCCTCGTAGCTTCAAATACCCACTAAATGCCAGTGACTTCCCAGTCTAAATATGCAGACCAGACCTCTCTTCAGAATTCCAGATTTATACATCTACCTTGTTGGCAAATACCTTCATATATCTACCACACATCTTAAATTTAATATATCTAAAACTTAACACCGAATCTTCCTTCCAATCTTGTCCATCTCATTTCCCTCATTTGTATTGATGGAAAATAATCTTTGAATCCACTCTTCTGAGTCCCACATCTAACCTGTTTAAAAACTTTGGTCAGCTCTACTCTCAACCTTATCTACTTGTCATAACCATGTTCACTATGACACTCATTCAAGCCACCATCGTTGACCTAAATAATAGCGTCTGACTCCTAACTGTATTTTCTCCTACCAACTCTTCTCAACACAGCCCCCCTTGAACACATAAATCAGATTCTATCATTCTTCTTCTCAGAATCACCAAAGGTTCCCCACCTCAGGTAGGAACCAACCTCTTTGGAATGTTCCTTAAGGCCCCATATAATCTAGTTTTCGTGATTTTTCTAACTTTTTCTCCTCTTACTCTTTCCTCATTCTTCAATCCAGCTCCACTGACCTTTCATAACTCTCTCTTCTCCTTTAAATCTGTGTCCAAATGTTGCCTTCTCAATGAAATCTATGTTAACAATTCCCAGTGTTCCAAATATCTTTGTCTAGTTCATTTTTTTTCCAAATCACTTTCTGTCTGCTGTCCTATATAATTTCCTTTTTTATTATGTTTAGTATGGATATTTTATTTCCCTCTGTGTAATGTAGCTCTATGAGGGAAGATATTTTTCTCTGGAAACACTTCGAACATTTTCTGCCACATAGTATGTGCTCAATACTATATATATTAAATGAACATATGAATTTGTGTTAAGAATAGCTTTTGCCAGTAAATGGGTGGATCTGAGGCTATTATATTAAGTGAAATAAGCCAATCCCAAAAGCCAAATGTTGAAGCTTCTATCTGATATGTTGTAGCTTCTAACACATAACAAGGGGAGGGGAAGAATAGAAATTCAATGAATTAGACAAAGGGGAATGAAGGGAAGAGGGGCAGGAATAGGAAAGAAAGTGGAATAAATCTGACCTAACTTTCCTATGTACATATATGAATACACCACATTCAATCTCCACATCACATACAACCACAAGACTGGGATCTTAATTAGAATAAGATGTACTCCATGATTGTATAAATTTGTCAAAATATACTCTACTTTTCATGTATAACTAAAATTAATAATAAATAAATAAAATATGATTTTTTTTTTAAAAAAATCCATGTAAAACTACTAGAATTAAACATAGGTGTGTGGGGGGAGGGCGGAGAATAGACCAGAAGAGGAAGGGCAGAGTTGATTAACAAATAGAAGTCATCTGTTGTCAATTTCAATAAATACACAGAATTAATATTGAAGGAAAAAGACTAGGGAAATACTTGAGCTTAAAAATAGTCTTGAAAGAACATAGGAAGCTATTTTTATCAGACTGCTATTGGTAAAGTTTTAAGTTACCTGTAGCTCAACGACACTTCTATTTTCATCTTTATTCATGTCTTTGCCTATACATGTAAATATGTATTTAGGTTGAGTTACTGCTAATGGATTCACTGGGTCATAAAGTAGGTGTATTATAAATTTGAAAGGCATTGCCAAATTGCCTTTTATGAGTGTACATCAATTTATACTCTCACCATCAGGGTATCTACGAGCTTGTACATTGTAAATTTTTCATAATATACTTTTTATTATTATAGTATAAGAAATAAATACATGCACATGAAAAACATAGGCCACTTTAATTATGGGTGTTTTTATAAAAGATTTCAATGAAATACAAATAGAGTGAAAGTTGAATGATAAGCAATGACTGACTGAATTAATGAGTCAGTGAAGGGATGGATGAACAGATAATTGGAGGAAAATTGACTGAGTAGACACTTGGCCAAAGATGGTACACGTGAGAGGAGTAAATGGGAAAAGTGAGTTACCTTGTTCTATGGAATTATCATGGCAACAGCAGAAATGTGAATCAGCTCTTACAGGGAAAGAAAAAGGCTCATTGAGGGAAAATCATGTTTTGTTTCTTCTCTAATTGATTTCAAGAGAATGAAATGAAACATCAACAAAAACTTCCCTTTTCAGAAAGTAAAAGACTGGAGACTGTTTGAGTAAAACAGTTGTTTGTGTGAAGCCAACTGGGAACAAGATGGTGAAGTTTCAAAAATTGAAACATAAACTATGTTCTAATCTCCCATCCTCTAGCATATTTGCTTCAGAGGCCGCAGCCCACCTCAGGAGATTTTGAAATGAGAACCAATGACTAACCTTAGGCATAATGAACTCCTCTTAGAGAGGGAAGTTGTTTTCATAGACATGGGGACAGGTGGTGCCACCAAAGTCATTCTAGAACATTGCAGAACCCTCTAACCATACCTGGTTATCCCCACCAGCACATCATAGTTTCCTTTTCCTTCACAGAAAATTGACCTCTTACCTAGTGTGTTCTGACTGGATACTACTTGACCAAGAATACATGACATCTAAAATGCCTGTATCTGTTACCTTTGTTCAAGTTCCATTTTTTTTAATCAATGTCAATACCCTGACGTGATTAAGAGGTACTTTCTCAAGTGCTTGAACACATATCTCTTCAGAGAATTATGAAGGAACACATCTTGGCCATTCACCAGGAAATTTTCATGGAATGATTCCTGGCTGATACAGCAGGTAGCGATGAGAAAAGCCACAAAAGCGGAAGTTTGAATCTTGACTCTGCCATTTCTAGTTAGCTGAGTTTCTGAGTTCCCAGTTCTTCATCTTTAAGTATGTACAATGTATACTAAGTTAGTCTGTAGAAGCACCAAGAAATTATGGTGCTTTATTTATTATTTATTTTTTTTGCATAATTGTTCCCAAGTTGAAACTCAAAGGAAACCAAATGTGCCTTTGTATTCTACCATTATATATTGATTATTTATTTGGAGAGTTAAATAAATAAATTTATCTCAAGAAATGAAATGGTCAAGATAGTAAAGTAATTATGCTAGTTGCTATATATGCAGAGAGCATTGAGGTGTTCTTTTGCTGATGAAGTTCATGGCACATTCTACATTTATGAAACATCTGTTAAAGCAGCTGCTTCTTCATTAAATAAAAATAAAAATGTACCACTTTTCTGTGACAATGCTGATAAATGGGGATTGGTGATGATGCCGGAAAAAATATGATTATGAATGAACCTATTGAAATTCTTCAGTATATTTATAGATGTACCAGAATAAAAATATATAAAAAGTGAAGAAGAAAGTTATGGGGTTCCCAGAATATCCCAGAAACCAAGGGGAATGGCTCACCTGCATGTCCCACTCAACCTAGTCTTTCCATTCCAAATGGAAAGCATGGGAATCCATACTCTTTTCTGCATGACTTAATAAATTTACCACCAGGAAAATTACCACCTGGAAGTTTCCAGATAGTGCCAACAGAGCAATTCTAAGACTCAAATTCCAATCATAACTACATATTTAAAACAGCCAAATTTCCTGGGAAGTCATGTCAAACTATATGCCTTCCACGCAGGAAGACCAAACAATAATTTAGGACATTATTATCCTCAAACATTAAGTGGTATTGTGTTCATTTGAAAATTGGCAAAATAGACATTAATTGACTCACAAATATATTAAGAATTTTAATCCAAATTGCAAAGCATTTTGATCATATTTAAAATAGCTAAAACTCAAGATCCACCCTCCAGCTTCCTATCAGTTCTCAAATGCCTTTTCATTAGATACATGCATTAGTAACAAGAAAACAGGCAAAGGCATCTGACTTTGGCAATGGAACAACTGTGGGACAGTTTCCTGTTTTAGTCCTTATTCCTCACCTTATCTACATCACAAAAGATCTTTCCCTCACCCTGCCCCTCATTCTCTCTGAGCAGATTTCCACAATAATCATGGAGTAGAAAAATCCCAAACACACAGAGAGTAAAGCAAGGCCAAGAAAAGTGACAACACTCTCATTGTATGCCTGACCCAACAGAGTTGCTTTTAAAATTTAAGAGTGAGGCATGCTCAACTGTTATGAGTTGATGTGATGATGCATAATTAGATGGTGATTTAACACAGAGCTGAAAAAAAATTAAATGACAGTAATCATGGGAGAGAAAGTAAAATACCAAGGAAAGCAGTGAAATGAGCTGAGGTACCTGGAATTTTGTGATGTGTATCTGTTAGTAATTTGTCAGACTGTAACAATAGAGGTAATTTCACAAATAACAGGAGTTTCTCCCCAGGTTCACCTGCCACTCTTCAGAGGCATCCAAAGGTCTAGTCATGGAAAGGCACACACATTACTCCCAATGAGCTTAGTTTTGCACACCTGTGCACATGTGATTCCTCCTAACTAAAATATCCTTTCTCTTTATTTAACTCAAAAACAACTCATTCCTCATTGTTAAGTTCAAGTGTAACTTACCCCCTCCAACATCCTCCCTCACTCTGGTCTCTTATGTACTGCCCCTCTGTACTTCCATTCCACTTCATGCCATTAGTCAGGCCATAGTGTAATAACTGATTCACATAGTATTCTTTCACACTAACTGGGAGTTCCATGAGAACAATGATTGCATTGCCTGGATGTTCCTTAGTCATTGAAACACAATTGATGCTTAATAATTATGGATGAATGAATGAATACGGAAGTATCAAGAGTGAGAAAAAGTATATGTTGGCCCTTCTTCTCCTCTCACCATATCATTGCCTTCTCAGTACCTATGAAAGATATATAATAATTAGAGAGTCTATAAGTTTCTCCATATCCTAAAAAATCACTTCTAACTAGGAGGATAATTCTTAAAAAAAATTTAGGTGGATATTGACTGGAAGTGTCCCCATAAGTACAGTATATGAAAACTGGGAGTGATAGAAGCATACAAAATATGGTTAATCTTATTTAAATCTGACATTTGAAAAGATTTGGCTTCTACCTGGCTATACTCCTTGATAGAATGAAAGTAGTAATATAATCCTAGCTAGTGGTTTTTCCTTTTTTCAAATTCAGCTATTATTACAATACCTGTCTTATTTGGAATTGTTATGATTTTGAAAAAAATATCTCAAAACATTTAAAACATAAAGAATATGAGCTTTATTCTGCTCTTTTTCTAAATTACTAGATATTTTTAACTTTTTAATTTCAATATTGCTGTATGCCAAACAGCACCTTGATTTTCTCAAAGAAAACATAATGGAAGAAAAACATGAGCAATATCTCCAATTAAAAATCAAAAGTGCAATATGATCTAAATAACCCTCCTCGCCTTTTAAGAAGTCATACAACAGTGTGTTTACATGAAGGAAAGAGAATATTTTATGTGTGTCACTATCATGGGAATTATAATTTGTAATTTATCAATGTGAACATGTAAAGAGAGATAAACAATCCGACACTAATGCAAAATGATTATGCAAATAGAAAGCTTTTAAAACTATTGTGTGTAATCTTTCAACATAGGATAATTGGCATTTCCCCTTTGCCTAAGTCATCTACGCAAAAGCCATTGTTTTTCAATTTTTTCCTTCTTAGTCACAAGCAATTTATTTTTTTCATTTTCATTTTTAGGAATCATTATAATCTTTCTACTCACTTAACCCCAGTGAAATGGTAGAATGATTACCAGAGCAAATCAATTCTGAATCAAAGAATCATTTAACATTTCCTAAAGTAAAAGGAACAAGATTTTAGAGGATGGAGTGAGAAAGGTCACAGAATACTGGAACAAGGGATTGAAGTATTAGGGGTTTCTCATACACATAATTGTTAGTACATAAAACCTATATTGTGATGGAACAAAATTATAAATTCTTAGTGTGGCTAGACAGCATTTTAATCCATTTACCCAAGTTTCATTGGATGGGGGGAGTTGTCAATTTTATAGGGGTGGAACACTACTGAGTGGAAATCATAATATAAGAAAATAAATGTTTGTGTGCCTTAACTCTAAAAATATAATTTATTCCAGACTTCAGTACATAAAGTAAGTGCTACTTTATAGTATCACAGCAAGTGTATGGATGCTTATGTTTCACCAAAACCAAGAGCAGGAAAACATAACTAACCTAGCACTGGCCTATATAGAGTGAGTTGTGTTTTGTTTTTCTCAACAAGCTTATCATGGACAAGTGCTATAGAATATACCCCAAATCCTCTAATTCATTTTGCCTGATCCCAATTCATGGTCCCCAGAGGAGCTGCTGCATTCTTATATTGCCTTTTCCATTGTGCCACTATTAACTAGCCCAAGAGAGAAGCAAGACAGTATCACTTCTAGAGATAGAAACTGTATTTTTAGAGTTATTGTTCAGAAGACTCTGAAAAGTCTAAATGAATTTCCTTTTTTCATTCGTTTTTCTTTAGATCGCATAATTTCTACCTATCTATCTTTATGCTAATTCTTTACTTTTAGTTCAACTCTTCTTTGAGCACTTCTCATGAATTGTCCATTTCAGCTATTATACTTTTCAACTCCAGAATCTCTATCTCCTCTTCCTCTTGTTTCTTAAATTTTCTGCCTCTTTATTGATATTCTTTATTTGATGTGATCTTGTCATTTGATTCCTTTACTTACTTAGTCATACTTTCCTTTAGTTCTTTGAAGATATTCATAATGACTTTCTTTAAGACTTTGTCAATTCAATTAAAAATCTGATCACTCTCACAGACAATTTCTATTGCCTAAGAAGAGAGCAGACAGTAAAAAATATAACTCCTAAACTCTCCTCAAAGAAATAGCCTTCCACAGATAGATTTTAACCTCTTCTCAAAGAAACAGACTTCATTTGCAGAAGAGTGTGGAAAAATTCAAGCCTCCTGTGGGCACCCCCAGACGTTATGGTAAAAACCAATTAGAAGAAGATTGGCAGATTCATTGAATATAAAGGATATACTGTTAACCAGCTAGTTTGTCTAAAAGAACCAAAGAAAGAGACAGCTCAGAGGAGCCCTCCTGAAGTTAAAAATAATAAAAATTAAATTAAATTAAAATTTAAAACCAAACTTTCTAATACTGAACTTAGAAACTATTTCTTCAATAGTGACAATATTTGTTTAGCAAAGTCTAAGGAACAATCTATGCCCCAGGGCATTTTTTAAAATAATAGAACCAACAAAACTCTATCATCCCAGACTGATTGTGGACATACCCAAGCCTGAGGCATTGAAGAACAACATGGGAAACTTTGCACTGTGTTCAAGGAATAGATTTTAATATTATTATAGTCACTTATTAAAAGAATAAATTAGAGAAAAATAATAATAAGCCTTATAACAGGGTGGCCAGAGCCACGTTTCTATAGCACATTATATAAAATACCCAGGTTCCAACAAAAAGTGTGAGACATGCAGAAAAACACAAAAGCATAATCTATATATTGGTGAGAAAATCAGGCAATAGAAATTATCTGTGAGAGTGACGAGATGTTGAATCAAATAGATAATGACTTCTTAAAGGAAGTCATTTTATCTTCAAAGAACTGAAGGAAAGTATGATTAAATAAGTAAAGGAATCAATAAAGACAAGATCACATCAAATGAAGAATATCAATAAAGAGGCAAAAAGTTTAAGAAAAAAGAGGAAGAAGAAATAGAGATTCTGGAGTTGAAAAGTATAATAGCTGAAATGGACAATCCATGAGAAATGCTTAAAGAAGAGTTGAACTAAAAGGAGAGGAATTAGCATGAAAATAGATAGGTAGAAATTATGCAATCTAAATAAAAAAAGAATAAAAAAGTAAACACATTTAGAGAAATATGAGAACTTAAGGACACCAACACATATATAATGTAAGCACTAGAAAGAGGATAAAAAATACTCACAGAAAGAATGCCTAAAACTTTTATCTAAAAACATTAATCTACTCATCCCAAAACTAAATGGACCTCAAAAAGGACAAATGATGAGAGCCAAAGACAAAGAGAAAAATCTTGAAATAAGCAAAAGAAAAACAAATCATCACATACAAGAGAAACTTAATAAGAAAAACAGCTGATTTCTCTTTAGAAACAATGCAGGCTAAATGGCTAATATCCAAGAGTTACAAGAAAAAAAATTGTCAACCAAGAATCATATATCCAACAAATCTATATTTCAAAAATAAAAGCAAAATATAGACCTATTGGGGTAAAAAAAAACAGGTAATTTGATGATAGCAGACTATACTGACAGGAAGTACTAAAGGGGTTCATTCATGCTAAAAGCAAATACCACCAGAACAATTGAAATCAACAAAAAATAAGAGCACAAGTAAATATAATTATGAAATTTCAAAAAATAGTAAAAATGCATATTTCTTCTCATATCTCTATTAACTGTTTTAAAAATCAATTGAGTAAACCCAAGTTAATTCACATCTTGAACATTTGCCATTGGGTACAAAGGAATGTAAAGAAGTTTTTCTTGAAAATTCTCAATCAGAGTTATTTATGTAGTCATTGTGCAGATTCCCAGCCTAAATCCTTTCATCCAGCTGATATAGAAAAATTCAAGTCAAGAGTTTAAATTCAAGTGATCTTAGACTTGAGGACTTTTGTGAACATAGAATATAAAATGATTGTGTTTAAATATCTAAGTTGTTTTGTTTTTAAAATATAACAAAAAACAAATAACAAAAGAAATAAATTTTAAAATAAAGTTTCCTAATTAAAAATTCAATAATTGAAGTCTAAAACAGACAATGAGTTTAACAACACATTTAATGATGCTGGAGAAACAATCAGTGAATTGGAAGATATATTAAAACATAAAAATAGACAATGTTTAAGTATTTGCTTACTGCTTCAAGCACTTTAAAAATGTAAACTCAATTCTCAGAACAATCCATGAAGGAACCTAAGTTAAAGTATAAGATCAGGCCTCATGGAAGAATTGAAGCCTCTAGGCTTTTTTGAGGGGTTTACCTGGAGCAGAGGTATGGAGGATACATGGACAGTCAGCAGTCACACAATATGATTTCTCATCTTAATCAAGTATGCCAGAGTGATTTCAGTGTTTGCTTTTAGGACCTTTATTAGGAGACTTTTTCCAAATGTTTTGATGCAAGTTTTCAGTTGTTTCTCATTGGCCACTGATAGCTGGATATGCTGTTTTAAGCCTCATACTAGTTGTATCAAGTTTACTTTTCCAAGAATATTTTCATGGAAACAATTATGATGCTATCATTTCTCTGACTTAATATGCTTCTCTGAATATAATTTTTCTATATTTTAGTACATTTTTACATTGTTTATTATCATGAGGAAAATGAATCTGAAGGGTATTTTACACAAAACTGTCTGGTTCCTGGAACTTAATGCATTTTACAGTGCTTGAAACATTTCATTGTCTGTGCTGGTAATTTTGCTTTCCTCAAACATAAACTTATATTGATTCATGATGTACCACACTCCTTTTCCATTACTCCAGCTAGGCATATTTTCAGATTCTTTTTCCAAAGTATACTCTTTTCAAAAGCACTAAATATAGCATAAGATAAATTTTTGTGACTTCATCACAAAAGCAACAATTTTCAGCTAAGGATGTAGTTTCAGTTTTTATTATATCACACATTCTGAATATTATATTTGTAGAGTTGCATCAACTTTCCCCACATATGCTTTTTGTTGTTGTTGTTGTTTTAAAGAGAGAGAGAGAGAGAGAGAGAGAGAGAGAGAGAGAGAGAGAGAGAGAATTTTTAAATATTTACTTTTTAGTTTTCGACAGACACAACATCTTTATTTGTATGTGGTGCTGAGGATCGAACCAAGTGCCGCACACATGCCAGGCGAACGCGCTACGACTTGAGCCACATCCCCAGCCCCCCACATATATTTTTAAGAAATGTATTTTGGTGACGTTGGCAGCTGACAATTCTAACATTATAACATGCAAAGACGTATTTTGAAAGAAAAAAAAAAAACTTAAGTGGGGACATGATGAAATTATACAAAATATTAGTGATTTAAAACTTAAGCCTGAAGCCTGAGAACCAGGTGACAAAAATAAGAAAGAAACTGTATTTCCCAGGAAACTGATTAACTTGACTTTAGGTCGGGCTTTTGGAATATAGTCAGGAAAACCAAAATAAGAAATGAGATGCAACTGTCAGGAAGACAGGAAGAACAGTGGGAATTAAAAAGTAGCTCAGTGACTACAGAATAAGAACAGGATAAAGGAACATGTTGCCCCTTTATTACATGAGAAAGAAAGCAATAATAGTAGATACCCAAAAAGCTATAGGTTTAAAATTGTTTTGTTGAGGATATTATTTTTTTTCCAAACTAAGTGAAAGCCTCACTGCTAATATGAAAGAGTCTGAAAAACACCAATACATTGAAGAAACTGCTAAAAATGCTATCAATATTGTCACTTCCCATTATACTTTGTGTCTAAATATCTTATTTTGACACACACAAATTTTATCTAATTGTTCCACATGCACACACATGCATACTAACGAGAATACGCTCATGTATGAATGTGAATATGCTCATGTATCAATGTGAATTAGATTGTGAAATCTTTCAATGGGGAAATAATTTTATATGTATTTTACATATGCTGCTTTCCAGCTCAGGACAAAGCAGATAGCAGGCAGTCTTAAAAAAATTGTTAAATTGAATTATATTTAGTAAATTGGAATATACTGACAAAATGTGTCAAAATGCATTTTTGGAGATCTGTCAAAAAAGCAAAGTATAATTCACTGTATCGGTTTGAATTTAATCTTGATTTTTCAGATGATGTCTACATGTTTATTTTCATAATAAGTTTCAGTTTCTCATTTTTTGTTGTCTATGTGAGGGGAAATGCTGAAATATTTAGTTAAGAAAAACACTTTCAATTGAAAAATTTTAGACAACCAGTTTGGATGGCATGCATATTTTAAAACCAACATTGACACTAATCTTGGACATAAAATGATTCCAGCATAGAAACCAGAACTGTTATTACCCAGACAAGGGATTTGAGTGCATACTTCCCGTGATACTTCGTAAGAAGTATGACAACTATTTGTTTTCAGCTCTGACCCAGTGTTCAGGAGTGCATGTCCCTTCAAAAAATCTCCCCAGCCCCTCAAGCAAGAGAATGTTGACCACAAAGACAGCAAGAAAAGAGCTCAGAAACAGAAATTCAGGACCTGAAAGCCCTCAGTGATATTACTCCCAGAGTGCTGAATACCTGCAGGCCTTCAGGTTACAGGAAGAAAGTGCAGGAGGGCTGCATCCTTTCAACAAGACAGTAAGCAGCATATTTATAACCTGGATTTCAAGTCACTGTGGACTAATAAATAGACTGATGATTTTTGGAATTAGTTATAAAGACCCTGATATAGAGAACAGAGCAGCCCCATAAAAGACAGCACCAGACAAGAATGGTTTAAGACACACTGAACATAACCCTAGACCAGAGTCAGTTAAACAAAAACACAAATCCAACCCTGACCAAAAACGATACAAAATATTAGTACAAAAATGTGATTGTACATCATACAGACATCTCCTGAAGTGGAGGTATTGTAGTGCACTAGTCTGAGCAGAGTTGACTCAGATCCCAGCTTTGGCATTTTCTAACTATTGATCCTGAAAACAGGAAACTAGCTATTGTGTGTCTCAGTGGGACTTACTTTACTTTATTTGAAAGCCTCTACTCTGGTACACACCAGGTTGCAAATGGACAGCAAGTAAGACCTATTTTTCTTATGTTCCTCATTCTCTTGTTGCCCTAGTTACTCCTTTGAGATAAACGAGTAAGATACTGTTTATGGTTCTCATTCTGCTGTGTCACTTTCAAATAGCCTTTATGTTTTCTTCCTAACAGCAGAGTTTAAAAAACTCCTCTGGTCAAAGTCAATAAGCAAAAGTAATTAAGCAATACCTACTCCAGAGAGGTGGCCTAACAAACCAGGGTCTTTTGGGGGTGCTAAGAATATAAAGTTTAGTACTTAAAAGAGTTTGGGAAACAGGAGATAATTGTTTGAAGGGGGTCACAAAAGTATTACTTTTACTATAATTTCTTATCAAAGAATACTATACAACAGGATCTTTAAAACATCCCTTAGAAAGGGTTCAATATAAAGTACATAGTGGCACTCTAGATTCATTATATCAAGTATATGTGGAATTGAAAAACAAAATAGGAAATGAAAAAGAAAATACAAAGTAAGTACATCCTGTTTTATCATTCACAATGAAATAAGTGAAAATGATGTCTACCAGTTACAAAATAATCATTTTACTTATTAAATGAAACCATGTACTGGTCTCCTAGTGACACTAAATGCAGCTAAATTCCAGACATTCTAGCTAACAGGAAAATAGAAATTATAGCAAAATATTTAAGATTAGGATTAATTTTTAGCTTCTAGGGATCAAACCTGGGTCTCAGGCATGCTAGACTAACATTTTTCCACTGAGCTACACCCCAGTCCCAAGATTGGGACGTGACATTTTGAACCCTTTAATGAACATATGCCATTCAATAAGTGAAGCAGCAGAATTACTGTAACTTCACTTGTTCTGGTGCTACTTTAATAAGACATAATTAGCAGGAATGTTTGTTTGTCACTGTCACTAAGTATATACTAAGAATATGTTATTCACTTCTGAGAAGAGAGAGGGTCTGAAGCAGAGATGACAAACAGCATCGTGAACTGCTGTCACATCCATATTGGCATCCCCTGCTTCCACCTCACTATTACTGTCCAGAAGGGAAAAGTGTCATTGCAGTGAATCACTTGGGCCCCTGAAGCACAATGCTGAATCCAAGAAGAGGCTTTTTCCTCCTTGATTTTTTGGTCTGATAAGCTCTTCAAAAATAAAATATAAAACGACAAAAAAGAAATAATATAAGGTACTAGAATAAGTGCTAGATCATAGCCACAATAAAGAACAGTTCTGTGTTCGTGTGTGTGTGTGTGTGTGTTTGTGTGTGTGTGTGTGTGTTTCTTATTAACTGCTCTTATGTTCCCACAGGTAGTCTGGGTTCAGATTTCTTTACATATGAAAACCTACAAGCTCAGAGATGGAGATGTGGCTCAGGGGCAAAGCACATGTTTAGCATGTGCAAGGACCTAGGTTTGATTCACAGCCTCTCAAAAAAACTAAACCATATATAAATACACACACACACACACACACACACACCACATTCTATATGTGTGTGTATATAATTTTAGTTAGCTTTTCTCTTCTTATGACCAAAGATCTGGCAAGAACAATGAGAGGATGAAAAGTGTATTTGGCTTATAGTTTCAGAGGTCTCAGTCCATAGACATCTGGGCACAATGTGAGGCAGAACATCACGGTGGAAGGGCATGGAGGAGGAAAGCAATCATAAAGAAGAGGGTGCTTTCTAAAAGAATAGAGTGCTTATTGTTACTATGCAGTCAATACATATCAGTGGATTAATCCACTGATTAGGTTATAGTTCTCATGATCTAATCATTTCACCTCTGAACATTCTTGCATTGTCACACACATAAACTTTTAGAGGACACTTCATATCAAAACACTATACACCAGACATTTGTAACATATTTTAATAAGCATTTCTCAAAATGGTCACCAGGTTAAACATCAGTGAAGTGATTGTTTTCTGCCCAGTTACTCATACTTTTAGATATCCAATGCAGGGCCACCCTTAAGTTTTCTAAAAATACAGCTGGGGATTGTTGAGAGCCACAGCTTAAGGGGCCCCAGCAAACTTTCAGACTGCCAGCTGATGATTGGCTCACAGCACCCCAGCAACATCTAGCTGATTGGCTCCTCTGCAGTGATGCTCATTGGGCTGTTTCCCTGCCCTTTCAGACTGCCAGCTGATGATTGGCTCACAGCAGCCCCAGCAACATCTAGCTGATTGGCTCCTCTGCGGTGATGCTCATTGGGCTGTTTCCCTGCCCTTTCAGACCACGGAGCTGCTCATTGGAGTCTTTTTTCGCTCCGCCCACGTGACCCAGCCAATCGGCCTCAAGAGCAGGAGGATTGTGGGAGGTGGAGAGGCTTGTGGTTGAGAGAGAGGCTTGTGGGAAGCCAGTGGTGGCAGTTGGGCTCTGAGGGTTTTTCCTGAGGAGTGGTTTTGTTTGGCGTGTGTTGTTCTTAAAATAAAGTTCGTTTCTTTTGACAAGTGGCTCCTGAATTGTGCTCAGCCAGACTGCGGCATTTGGTGGCTCGCACGGGGAGCAACTGAGGGTAAGTGATAAGGTAAACTGCTTGCCCCTGAGGGCAGGGCGAGAGGATGGGCAGCCATTTTAAGATTCCTCTTTTGTTTTGCTTCACTTTTGTTTTAAGTTGCCTGTCCCTGGAGATGAGTGAGATGGAAGAAAAACCACTCACATCTGAGGAAAAACCATTTACGTCTGAGGAACAGATAGGGAGAAAGGACGGATGCACATGTCAGGAGGATAGAAAGGCTATAATGACTTTTTGTTGTTCCCTTTTTATTTCATTTTGTCTCGGTTTTGTTTGGGGTCATCTTGTTGGGTTGTATTATAGTAGAAATATGGGATCAGAAATTAGTAAAAAACAAACTGAAAGAGTGTTAAGTAAATTGTTAGAGGAAGGAGGCATCTCAGTAAAATCAACAACAGTCAGGGCATACATTGATACAATACAAAAATGTAGCCCATGGCTTTTTAAGGAGGAGTTGTTAAATACATCACAATGGAACCATCATGGTGAAGATTTAAAAAGAATGGAAAAGAACAGCCCAGGGACTCTGCCAGTTGGCACATTGCCATTGTGGACATTTGTTTCTTATTTGCTTAGTCCAAATCCTTCAGTTCAGACAAAGATAGAGGAAGAAAGCTTAGAGCAGAAAAAGCCATCAGGAGTAAAGTTACAAAAGGAGACTGCTACTAACAACTTTCTATCACAAGAGGGCGTAAGTGTCCAACCAACAGCACCACCTCTACAGGAGACTGCTACTAACACCTTTCTATCACCAGAGGACGTAAATGTCCAACTAACAAGGCCACCTCCATATGCTGGGAGGCCCCCAACCCCTGCAGTTGATAGTTCGGATCCTGAGACAGGATCTCAAGTATTAACATGCCCTGTATTTGAGGTAGGAGGGCAGCGAATTCACCATGTTTTAAATTTCAAAATAGTGAAGCAGCTAAAAGAGGCTGTAACAACCTATGGTCCTCAAGCACCCTTCACTGTAAGCTTGGTCGAATCCATTAACAACTTGAACATGACGCCAGCAGATTGGGCTAATATGTGTAAAGCTGTGCTAAATGGAGGTCAATACCTGTTATGGAAGGTTGCCAATTAGGAATTTTGCAAGGAGACAGCTAGGCAAAATGCAGCAGCTGGTTATCCTCAGAGAAATCTAGATATGTTGTTAGGAAAGGGACCTTAAGAGGATAAGCAGCAACAAATTGCATATGATCCTGGGGTATACGCACAAATTGCTGTAGAGGCGGTTAGGGCATGGAAGACTTTACAAGGGCATGGAGGTTTACAAAGGTCAACTATCTAAGGTAATACAAGAAGCTAATGAACCTTATGCTGAATTTGTAGATAGGCTTATTCAAACAGCTACCAGAGTTTTTGGGAATACAGAACAAGCAATGCCATTAATAAAACAACTGGCTTATGACCAAGTGAATCGTTGGTGCAGAGATATCATTAGACCATGGAAACATGAAGATTTAAACACATATATTAAATTATGTAGAGACATTAATGAACAAGAGCAAGTCGTGGCAGCTGCAGTAAATCAGGCTTTAGATTCCAGAGACATTAATGAACAAGGGCAAATTGTGGCAGCTGCAGTAAAATAGGCTTCAGATGCCAGGCCAAGATCATGCTACAATTGTGAACAACAGGACATTTTAAAAGGAATTGCCCCATAGGAGGAGGGTTTAACAAAACTAGGTATCAAAGGAGTACAATACCGGGTATTTGCCCACGATGCCGTAGAGGGAGACATTGGGCTAATGAATGCCGTTCTCAAACCACCATAGAGGGTACTCCATTATCAAAAAACGAACAAGGACCAGGTGTTTATCCACTATATCATGGAGAAAGGCATCAGACTCCATTGCCAAAAATGGACAGGGGGGCCCAATGCTACAGGGCCTAAAGCCACAAATATACGGAGCACTGGAGGAACCCAGCAACCCTATCAGGGTAGCACCCAGGACACATTGTCCATCAGATCCCTCATCAGAAAAACCAGAGGGAGCGCAGGGTTGGACATCTGCGCATCCACCAGATCAGTACTAACTCCAGAGATGGGAATTCGAATCATTCCCACAGGGGTAAAAGGACCTTTTCCCAAAGAACAGTAGGCTTATTATTGGGACACAGCTCTTCTACTCTAAAAGGACTTATGATAAGTCCTGGGGTAATTGATCCTGATTATGAAGGTGAAATAAAAATTATAGCCAGTTCTCCAAAGGGTATTTCAGTAATTTCACCAGGAGATAGAATAGCACAGTTACTAATAATACCAAGCCTACATGATAAATTTTCCAGTCGTGCTGTAGAAAGAGGTTCCAAGGGATTAGGCTCCACAGGTTTAGATTGGGCTATGATTTCTTTAAATTTAGATTCTTGCCCCATGGTAAAACTAAATATTCAAGGACATGAATTTAATGGGCTACTGGATACAGGTGCAGAACTTAGCATCATCTCTCGTCAAGAATGGCCAAAACATTGGCCATTACAACAAGCCACTCAAATGCTTCGAGGCCTAGGAGTGGCGACTAATCCCCATAGAAGTGCAATGGTATTAGATTCGAAGGATCCTGAAGGATGTGAAGGAACTATACAGCCATATGTATTGGATCATCTTCCCGGAAATTTATGGGGACGAGGTATCATAGATCAATTAAGTTTGAGATTAACAAATAACATCAACCAAAATGCACCCACTATTATGACTAGACAAGGTTTTAGGAAAGGAAAAAGATTAGAGAAACAAGAACAAGGTATAGCAGCACCAATACAAATAGATCAAGGAACAGACAGACATGGGTTGGATTTTCAGAAAAGGCCACTGAGACAATAAAAATTACTTGGAACTCAGAAAGACCAGTATGGGTTCCTCAGTGGCCCCTGACTAAAGAAAAGATACAAGCAGCCAATGACCTGGTCAAACAACAATTAGCAGAAGGACATATACAACGTTCCATATTTCCCCATAATACTCCCATTTTTGTCATCAAAAAGAAATCTGGTAAATGGAGATTACTGCAAGATTTAAGAGCCATTAATAATGAGATGGTTATTATGGGACCTGCTCAATCAGGGATTCCTCAATTGTCTGCTTTGCCAAAAACTTGGTATGTTTTAGTTATAGATATTAAAGATTGTTATTTTTCAATTCCAATTCATCCTGAGGATAGTCCAGGTTTTGCATTTACTATCCCTGCACTGCATGATGAAGGTCCTGATCAGAGATATGAATGGAAAGTACTCCCTCAAGGGATGGCTAACAGCCCAACTATGTGTCAAATTTATGATAACAAAGTAATCCAGCCACGTAGAAATCAAAATCCTGAACTACAAATATTTCACTATATGGATGATGTATTATTAGCACACAAAGCTAAAAACACATTGCTAGAGTGTTATGCCACACTTACAAATTTATTTTTTTTATTTTTAATTTTTTATTGTGGGTTGTTCAAAACATTACAAATTTCTTGACATATCATATTCCACAATTTGATTCAAGTGGGTTATGAACTCCCACCTTCACCCCATACACAGATTGCAGAATCACATCAGTTACACATCCATTGATTTACATATTGCCATACTAGTGTCTGTTGTGCTCCGCTGCTTTTCCCATGCTCCACCCTCCCCCCTCCCCACCTCTCCCCTCCCCTCCCCTCCTCTCTCTCTACCCCCTCCACTGTATAACCCTGAGGGTCTCCTTCCATTACCATGCAATTTCCCTTCTCTCTCCCTTTCCCTCCCACCTCTCATCCCTGTTAAATGTTAATCTTCTTCTCCTGCTCTTCGTCCCTACTCTGATCTTACTTACTCTCCTTATATCAAAGAAGACATTTGGCATTTGTTTTTTAGGGATTGGCTAGCTTCATTTAGCATAATCTGCTCTAATGCCATCCATTTCCCTGTAAATTCTATGATTTTGTCATTTTTTAATGCAGAGTAATACTCCATTGTGTATAAATGCCACATTTTTTTTATCCATTCGTCTATTGAAGGGCATCTAGGTTGGTTCCACAGTCTTGCTATTGTGAACTGTGCTGCTATGAACATTGATGTAGCAGTGTCCCTGTAGCATGCTCTTTTTAGGTCTTTAGGGAATAGACCAAGAAGGGGAATAGCTGGGTCAAATGGTGGCTCCATTCCCAGCTTTCCAAGAAATCTCCATACTGCTTTCCAAATTGGCTGCACCAATCTGCAGTCCCACCAGCAATGTACAAGTGTACCCTTTTCCCCACATCCTCGCCAGCACTTGTTGTTGTTTGACTTCATAATGGCTGCCAATCTTACTGGAGTGAGATGGTATCTTAGGGTGGTTTTGATTTGCATTTCTCTGACAGCTAGAGATGTTGAGCATTTTTTCATGTACTTGTTGATTGACTGTATGTCCTCCTCTGAGAAGTATCTGTTCAGGTCCTTGGCCCATTTGTTGATTGGGTTGTTTGTTCTCTTATTGTCTAATTTTTTGAGTTCTTTGTATACTCTGGATATTAGGGCTCTATCTGAAGTGTGAGGAGTAAAGATTTGTTCCCAGGGTGTAGGCTCCCTATTTACCTCTCTTATTGTTTCTTTTGCTGAGAAAAAACTTCTTAGTTTGAGTAAGTCCCATTTGTTGATTCTAGTTATTAACTTTTGTGCTATGGGTGTCCTATTGAGGAATTTGGAGCCCGACCCCACCGAATGTAGATCGTAGCCAACTTTTTCTTCTATCAGATGGCGCGTCTCTGATTTGATATCAAGCTCCTTGATCCATTTTGAATTCACTTTTGTGCATGGCGAGAGAAAGGGATTCAGTTTCATTTTGTGGCATATGGATTTCCAGTTTTCCCAGCACCATTTGTTGAAGATGCTATCCTTCCTCCATTGCATGCTTTTAGCCCCTTTATCAAATATAAGATAGTTGTAGTTTTGTGGATTGGTTTCTGTGTCCTCTATTCTGTACCATTGGTCCACCCGCCTGTTTTGGTACCAGTACCATGCTGTTTTTGTTACTATTGCTCTGTAGTATAGTTTGAAGTCTGGTATCGCTATACCACCTGATTCACACTTCCTGCTTAGCATTGTTTTTGCTATTCTGGGTCTTTTATTTTTCCATATGAATTTCATGATTGCTTTCTCTATTTCTACAAGAAATGTCGTTGGGATTTTGATTGGCATTGCATTAAACCTATAGAAAACTTTTGGTAATATTGCCATTTTGATGATGTTAGTTCTGCCTATCCATGAACAGGGTACATTTTTCCATCTTCTAAGATCTTCTATTTCTCTCTTTAGGGTTCTGTAGTTTTCATTGTATAAGTCTTTCACCTCTTTTGTTAGGTTGATTCCCAAGCATTTTATTTTTTTTGAAGATATTGTGAATGGAGTGGTTGTCCTCATTTCCATTTCAGAAGATTTGTCGCTGATATACAGGAATGCCTTTGATTTATTCGTGTTGATTTTATATCCTGCCACTTTGCTGAATTCATTTATTAGCTCTAATAGTTTCTTTGTAGAGCCTTTTGGGTCTGCTAGGTATAGAATCATATCATCTGCAAATAGTGATGATTTAAGTTCTTCTTTTCCTATTTTTATGCCTTTAATTTCTTTCATCTGTCTAATTGCTCTGGCCAGTGTTTCGAGAACTATGTTGAAGAGAAGTGGAGAGAGAGGGCATCCCTGTCTTGTTCCAGATTTTAGAGGGAATGCCTTCAGTTTTTCTCCATTCAGAATGATGCTAGCCTGAGGCTTAGCATAGATTGCTTTTACAATATTGAGGTATGTTCCTGTTATCCCTAGTTTTTTCCAGAGTTTTGAACATAAAGAGATGCTGTACTTTGTCGGATGCTTTTTCCGCATCTATCGAGATGATCGTATGGTTCTTATTTTTAAGTCTATTGATGTGGTGAATAACATTTATTGATTTCCGTATATTGAACCAGCCTTGCATCCCAGGGATGAATCCTACTTGATCATGGTGTACAATTTTTTTTTAATATGTTTTTGTATCCGAATCGCCAGAATTTTATTGAGGATTTTTGCATCTAGGTTCATTAGAGATATTGGTCTGTAGTTTTCTTTCTTTGAAGTGTCTTTGTCTGGTTTAGGTATCAGGGTGATGTTGGCCTCATAGAATGAATTTGGAAGTTCTCCCTCCTTTTCTATTTCCTGAAGTAGCTTGAAAAGTATTGGTATTAGTTCTTCTTTAAAGGTTTTGTAAAATTCTGCTGTATACCCATCCAGTCCTGGGCTTTTCTTAGTTGGTAGTCTTTTTATGGTTTCTTCTATTTCCTCAATTGATATTGGTCTGTTTAGGTTTTCTATATCCTCCTGACTCAATCTGGGCAGATCATATGATTTAAGAAATTTATCTATGCCTTCACTATCTTCTAATTTATTGGAGTATAAGGATTCAAAATAGTTTTTGATTATCTTCTGTATTTCTGAAGTGTCTGTTGTGATATTGCCTTTTTCATCCCGTATGCTAGTTATTTGAGTTCTCTCTCTTCTTCTCTTCGTTAGCATCGCTAAGGGTCTGTCGATTTTGTATATTTTTTCAAAGAACCAACTTTTAGTTTTGTCAATTTTTCAATTGTTTCTTTTGTTTCGATTTCATTAATTTCAGCTCTGATTTTAATTATTTCTTGCCTTCTACTTCTTTTGCTGTTGTTTTGCTCTTCTTTTTCAAGGATTTTGAGATGAAGTATGAGATCATTTATTCATTGTTTTTTTCTTTTTTTAAGGAATGAACTCCAAGCAATGAATTTTCCTCTTAGAACTGCTTTCAATGTGTCCCATAGATTCCAATATGTTGTGTCTGTGTTTTCATTTATCTCTAAGAATTTTTTAATTTCCTCCTTGATGTCTTCTATAACCCATTGATCATTCAGTAATCTATTGTTCATTCTCCAAGTGATGTATGCTTTTTCCTTCCTTGTTTTATCGTTGATTTTCAGTTTCATTCCATTATGATCAGATAAGATGCATGGTATTATCTCTACTCCTTTATATTGTCTAAGAGTTGCCCTGTGACATAATATATGATCTATTTTTGAGAAGGATCCATGTGCTGCTGAGAAAAAAGTGTAACTGCTTGATGTTGGGTGGTATACTCTATATATGTCAATTAGGTCTAGGTTATTAATAGTGTTATTGAGTTCTATAGTTTCCTTATTCAACTTTTGTTTGGAAGATCTGTCCAGTGGTGAGAGAGGTGTGTTGAAGTCTCCCATGATTATGGTATGGTGGTCTATTAGACTCTTGAACTTGAGAAGAGTTTGTTTGACGAAAATAGCTGCACCATTATTTGGGGCATAAATATTTACGATTGTTATGTCTTTTTGGTGTATGGTTCCTTTAAGCAGTATGTAGTGTCCCTCTTTATCCCTTTTGCTTAACTTTGGCTTGAAATCTATTTTATTTGATATGAGTATGGACACTCCTGCTTGTTTCCGACGTCCATATGAGTGATATGATTTTTCCCAACCTTTCACCTTCAGCCTATGTATGTCTTTTCCTATCAAATGCATCTCCTGTAGGCAGCATATTGTTGGGTCTTGTTTTGTGATCCATTCTACTAGCCTGTGTCTCTTAATTGGTGAGTTTAAGCCATTAACATTTAGGGTTATTATTGAGATATGGGTTGTTCTTCCAGCCATATTTGTTTATTTCTGTTACTAAACATGGTTTGTTTTCCTCTTTGATTTCCCCCCCCCTTTACTGTCCTACCTCCTACTGTTGGTTTTCATTGTTATTTTCCATTTCCTCTTCCTGCAATGCTTTGGCGAGGATGTTTTGAAGAGATGGTTTTCTAGCTGCAAATTCTTTAAACTTTTGTTTATCGTGGAAGGTTTTAATTTCATCTTCCATCCTGAAGCTTAATTTCGCTGGATACACAATTCTTGGTTGGAACCCATTTTCTTTCAGTGTTTGAAATGTGTTATTCCAGGATCTTCTAGCTTTCAGAGTCTGTGTTGAAAGATCAGCTGTTATCCTGATTGGCTTGCCCCTAAATGTAATCTGCTTCCTTTCTCTTGTAACTTTTAAAATTCTCTCCTTATTCTGTATGTTGGGCATCTTCATTATAATGTGTCTAGGTGTGGATCTCTTATGATTTTGCACATTCGGCATCCTGTAGGCTTCTAGAATTTGGGATTCTGTCTCATTCTTCAAGTCTGGGAAGTTTTCTCGTATTATTTCATTGAATAGACTGCTCATTCCTTTGGTTTGGAGCTCTGTACCTTCCTGTATCCCAATGACTCTTAAGTTTGGTCTCTTAATGTTATCCCATATTTCTTGGATGTTCTGCTCATGGTTTCTTAACAGTCTTGCTGAGCTGTATATGTTCTTTTCCAGTTGAAATACTTTGTCTTCATTGTCTGATGTTCTATATTCTAAGTGTTCTACTCTGCTGGTAGTATTCTCCATTGAGTTTTTAAGTTGGTTTATTGCTTCCTGCATTTCTAGGATTTCTGTTTGTTTGTTTTTTATAACCTCTATCTCCCTGTATAGTTGCTCCTTTGCTTCCTGGATTTGTTTGCGTAATTCATTGTCGAAGTGATCTTTC